GAATGTGAGAATTGAACGTGCATTCAACAATCCTAGCAAGTGTTGTGCTTTTACACGTCGACATATTGTAGCAGTGTCCACGCAACAAACAGAACTGTGTACATCTTAAACAACGACAGTGTTTTCATGATTGTACTATGTGCCTCTGATGATGGTTTTATTAAACCGAAACATGTAAGGCAGAAGTGATAAAGAAGTGACCTATAAATTGTTACACTCGACGGACTTTCTATTGACTTTGTGATTGATAGTGTAACGGACCAAAAATGAAACAATTCACTATCGTATTTAAAAATACCCACAGCGGGATCACACCCTAAACCACTTGAATCAAATTTACGCTCTCGGTTCCTATTCGTCTAAGATCCATTTTAGAAATATTTTCCCACCACTTGTTTCAGATTTTATGATTAAATTTGTTCATGTACTTTTTATTTCCCTCACGATCATCACATATCATGCCCATTTCTTCCCCCAAACATTATGAAACTGCGTAATTTTCTCAATGCCTTTGCACTTCTTGTTTCCAGAATTTAAATTATCCTTAATACTTTCTTCACAATTGCTTCCAATCTGGTATACTAATGTCATATTGGACAATTGTCCATTGCCTAATATACACGGCTCTGGAAGACTGGATTGCTTACCTTCGCCAGAAACAGCTCTTTCTAACGTGCCCAATTTTCGCGAGACCATTCCCCTTTTCACCCAATGATCCATGACGGACCCCTCCCCTCCACGAGGAGGTGATTCCACTACTAAACACCTACATGATTAGGAGAGACAGAAATCTTGGTCATGGATCTCGAGGAGACTGAAGCCAGGAATCACTGTGCTGGCGAGGTCCAGCAACAATTTAACCTACTGATCGACCGACCGACCGATAATCCAGTTTCCTGAAAAGTTATGTACAGCAAATATATTCGTTTTTTTTCCTCTCCCTTTCTGAGGGCTTTCGAGAATCCTGTGAAGGTTGAAAGTAGGTGTTCCTGCGCTTAATTAATTAAGCACTATGCCATGAAGGCGTATGGAAGAGTGGATGTACAGATCCACATTTCATTGACCTCGGCAGGTGGAGGTGAGTGGTCAGCTTCACGCCCCTGTCGCTTTAACCCCGGAGAGAAGGCCCTCGGTACCCATTGAACAGGAGGCTGGGTCGGCCCCAGAGCCGGTCTGGACGTCTTGGAGTAGAGAAAATTCTTGACCATACCGGGACTCGAACTCCGACCTCTCGGTCGTCCCGCCCATACCCAGTCGCTTTACCGACTGCGCTGTTCTGTCATGTAATTTATGTAGTCTGTGGGCCAAATCAGGCGCATGAGCTGTTTCATCAGTTGACTTCATCCTCAAACATACAATTTGAGATAGAGACTTATACATTACCACCGGAGCGACTGACGCATGCGCCACAGCACTCACACACGAGGCCAGGATACAGATATGTCTCTCCATCTCTGCAGTCCGCCTGCGAGTCAATTACGCAGGTCACGTTTGCACACTGCAGCTTCCCGCACGGCACTGACAGACATCGCTGTGCTGCGGTCTGCGTCAGCGTGAGCGCCAGCAGCAAGGAGACAGTCTGCAACGATGGAAACACAAAAACACTGAAACTGATGTGACTCCAGTACTATTTGACATCTTCGCCGTTACACTTGCATTGATTGTTGGAACAGCAAAGTAAAAGAAAATGTGTAAGTTTTGAGGTTTTCACGGCGATGACTATGAAGAAAGTCGTCTTCTGGGATCTGGCGCCGTGTATTCTTGGTTTTANTGAAAATATATTAAATTGTATGCAGAGAGACCATGATGTTCTGACCCCTGGAGGGGGGGGGGCATCCTCAGAGACGTGACAATAAAAAAAATTATACTTGTTTTATATCTTTTTTTATTGCTAGTGGGGTGGGACTAAGTCCCTTGTACTGCGGCCACTTCTGGCCTATTGTACCAGCCCCAGATGATAGGTGAGGGTGATTGTGGAGCAAGTGCTGGAATGAAGATTGGCAGGGGAAACCTAAGTACTAGGAGAAAACCTGCCACAGAGCCCCTTTGTCCACCACAAAACCCACTTGACCAGACCGGAGATCGAACCCGGGCCGCCGTGGCGGGAAGCCAGCGACTAACCGCTTGAGCTATGGCGCGGCCTGTTTTATGTCTTAAACAGCTGACCACAGTAGCCGCGCAATAATTGTCTTCGCTCGCTGGGACTTTGGGATCGCGGGTTCGAATCCCACTTAAGGCATGGATGTTCGGTGTGTGTATGCGTTTATTCTGTGTTTGTGTTCTCCTGTGTTTAGGCAGCGGCCTTGCGACGTGTTGATCACTCGTCCAAGGAGTCCTACCGTCTGAAAAATGATTACGGAACTGAGTAGGAGGCCAGGGCCCTGAATGGGCTGGTAGAGCCATTGAAAGAAAAGTAATCCTAATTATGGTCCACAGTTCTAAAATATTAAACTTACAGAAATTAAATTTACTCAGTTGCTTGGAATACAGCACGAATACGGGAGATGCTGCGTTTTGGGGCCTTTTCCACAACGTTAAAGAAAAATGGATCTGTTTCCGTTCTCACATGAAAGTGTTCGAAGCACGTATTCTGTTCGGGCCATTAGGAAGACCTAAACTCCATCGCCATCCAGTGATTGAGGTTAGCTCTTTGTAAAGGACCCAAGTGAATGGGTGCTTCACATTCTTTCATCTGAGGACGTTAAAAAAGTTTAGTATACGAAACGCTCGGCCGGTCAAAGCAGCCGAGCGGTCTAAGGCATGTACTGTCTTCGCTCGCTTGGAAACCGGGATCGTGGGTTCGAATTCCACTGAGGGCATGGATGCTTGTGTGTGTTTATCTGTGTTTGTATAAAGGTAGAAGCCTTGCAACGAGCTGATCACCCGCCCAAGGAGTCCTACCGAATGTGTAAGATCTATAAAAACCGAAGTGAACGGAGAAGTTCATGGAGGTAGGCCTAGGCTCACTGGGGCTGTAGTGCCAAGAAAAAAAAAAACACGAAACGCTGTGTTCTTTGGATTAGCGGACGGTAGGCAAAGTTCTACAGCTCAGTAATCCTCAATGTTATATACGATCGTCGGAGCCCTTTAGAAGTGACTTAACACCGTTAATTAATGGACGTACGAATATAGTGGAGTGGCATCATACGCACGTTGAACTGACGCGGATGCAACCATGCGCGATTTCGCTCGCTAGGCCACTCAGTGAGCGTAAGCATAATCATTGCAATACACAGGACAAAAATGGCGAGTGTTCAGGTTCACGGTTTTCTTTTGTCTTTTTTTTTTATTATTTCTTTCTTCCGTCTCTCTCTCCCTGAATTTTCACGTAACTAAAAATAAAATTGCTGTACATGTTATTTGTAGATGTTCTCGTTAAGTACCGGTATTATATACATAAATATTACAGGTACACAAGGGCATTGTGCTACAAAACCCACGGTCGCGGGTTTGATTCCCGATGAGGTCGTTTAGGTTTACCTTTACGTTTTATTACAGGTACATTTAAAGGCAACTACTTTTTGGGTGATTTTAGGGACTTTGAAAAGTAATTCTGACTATGGGTTTACGCGTCGTTTTCAGAAACTGATCCCCGCATAAGAAACGACTCCACTCAATGCACATAATCATATTCGCAATAGTGCAAGGTTTAGGTCCTGCAAGGTAGGTCCACGAGGAACTTTGATGAACATTGTTATATAATTTACAGACAGTTTCGAGATCTATCCAGAATTATGTTTCGTAATGTATGAAATGCCACCCTACCTGTCGGATGTGCATATTGGAGCGAGATTCTGCCACTGCCAACCTGTGCGCCGTGCAAGCTATGACGGTCACGTGATGCTTATCGCTCTAAGGAAACGCGGTTCGGGTTGCCCTTCCGCTCCGGGAATTCCGAAGGCCATCGGAAAGCAGCGGCCGACTGTCTGTTCAAAATGATTAGGAGGTTTCTGGCTTAGTAAACTTTTAAACACCTATTTGTCAGTCGACTATACTGCTGCTGGACCTCGCCAGCAGAGTCATTTTTCGTTCCGAGTTCCTCGGTACTCATGTAAAAGTTAAATTTGTCCCTGTGCGTAACTAATTACGAACAAAACCATGAAGCCGTATGGGGGAGTGGATGTATAGACCCACGTTTTCTTGATCTCGACATTAGCTTGAGGTGAGTGGTAAGCTTCACGCTTGGGCCGCTTTACCCCCGGAGAAAGAACCCCCGGTACCCATTGGATAGGAGGTTGAGTGGACCACAGATCCGGTCTCGACGACATGAAGCAAACATTTTTGACCCTATCGTGACTCGAAATCCGACCCCTCGGTCGCCCAGCCCGTAGCCAATCGCTATGCCGACCGATACCGACTACGCTAGCCACAAATCGTTTGGACTGATCGATACTGTCCGGAGAGGTTTCAGGGGAATGCAGGAATAAGCAGAGAGGTCTTGAGCGCCATCATTCTTAACATCCATAGAAATTCAGGACCCTCTTAGTGACGTAATGTTTTCACCGCTTTTCGTGAGAACGTTTTAATTTTATTCGCAGTTGTGTCCACTCGGCACGTCGGCCACTGATTGGCCTATTGTACCTGCCCCGGGTGACATGATGATGGAGAATTTGGTGGAATGAAGATTGGCAGAAGAAACCGAAGTACTCGGAGAATACCTGCCCCAGCGACATTTCATCCACCACAAATCCCACTTCATCAGACCCGGGCTCGAACCCGAGCCGCCGCGGATGGAAGCCAGCGACTAACAGCTTGAGCTATGGCGCGGCCTTCGTGAGAACGTTCCAAATGGTGAATCATTCCGGGATCGAGACCCAGTGACAACTCAGTGACACAGTGATGACCTGAATGCATGGAAAGCTTCTTCTGTAGCAGCCATACGACAGTTCTCAGCAGACCTCAGACTGCAGATGATGAGAATATCTCAGCAGACCTAACACTGCAGATGATGAGAATACTGCAGATGATGAGAATATCTCAGCAGACCTAAGACTGCAGATGATGAGAATATCTCAGCAGACTTCACACTGCAGATGATGATAATATCTGAGCAGACCTAAGACTGCAGATGATGAGAATATCTCAGCAGACCTAAGACTGCAGATGATGAGAATATCTCAGCAGACTTCAGACTGCAGATGATGAGAATATCTCAGCAGACCTAAGACTGCAGATGATGAGAATATCTCAGCAGACTTCACACTGCAGATGATGAGAATATCTCAGCAGACCTAAGACTGCAGATGATGAGAATATCTCAGAAGACTTCAGACTGCAGATGATGAGAATATCTCAGCAGACCTAAGACTGCAGATGATGAGAATATCTCAGAAGACTTCAGACTGCAGATGATGAGAATATCTCAGCAGACCTAAGACTGCAGATGATGAGAATATCTCAGAAGACTTCAGACTGCAGATGATGAGAATATCTCAGCAGACCTAAGACTGCAGATGATGAGAATATCTCAGAAGACTTCAGACTGCAGATGATGAGAATATCTCAGCAGACCTAAGACTGCAGATGATGAGAATATCTCAGAAGACTTCAGACTGCAGATGATGAGAATATCTCAGCAGACCTAAGACTGCAGATGATGAGAATATCTCAGAAGACTTCAGACTGCAGATGATGAGAATATCTCAGCAGACCTAAGACTGCAGATGATGAGAATATCTCAGAAGACTTCAGACTGCAGATGATGAGAATATCTCAGCAGACCTAAGACTGCAGATGATGAGAATATCTCAGAAGACTTCAGACTGCAGATGATGAGAATATCTCAGCAGACCTAAGACTGCAGATGATGAGAATATCTCAGAAGACTTCAGACTGCAGATGATGAGAATATCTCAGCAGACCTAAGACTGCAGATGATGAGAATATCTCAGAAGACTTCACACTGCAGATGATGACAATATCTCAGCAGACCTCAGGCTGCGAACAAAAAATTCGAAGAAAATCCGGTTTTGAAACTCGAACACAAATTCTAAATTCGAACAAAGGATCACTTGGTCACCTTCTCACACTGCTTCGTCGGACACGCAGTTGCTCGGTCAGTTCTCCCGTGACTGATTCAGTGAGCAGCTCGCAAATTCAGTCTGCTTTTTAAGCGCTTTATTAAATATATGTGTTATTTTGATAGACAGTAAGGGAAGCATACCCGGAGCTTGGATAGCGTAGTCGGTATAGCGACTGGCTATGGGCTGGACGAGTGAGGGTTCGGATTTTGAGTCCCGGTAAAGACAAGAATTTTTTCTTCTCGAAATCATCCAGACGGGCTCTAGGGTCCACCCAACCTCCTATGCAATGGGTAACGGGGGTTTTCCCCCGGGGGTAAATCCGCAGGGGCGTGAAACTGACAACTCACCTCTAGTTAATGCCGAGGTCAAGAAAATGTGGATCTATAAATTCACTCGCCCATACCCCTTCATGGTGTAGTGCTTAATTCGTTGAGCACAGGGACAACTTTACATTTAAGGAAAGCATACCCACTGCAGACATAAGGAACTGTTGCAGTATTGGTTTAAAACGCAGAGCCTTGTAGAAGCGGCAGCCCAATATCGCAGTTGTGAACAGGAGTGTTAACCTGTGTAATGACAATGTAATGTAACATTTCAGACAAGAACAAATGCGATTAGAAAGGTTTCTCTCCAAAGAGAAGTCAAAAGGTGGTAACGTTAATGACCCACAGCTCTCAACTAGTGGATTCCAGATGAAAGAAGGGTAATTCGCCTTCCTGTGAACAGTAATAGCCCTCCCATTATTATTACTGATTCATTATTATACAATATATTTATCTATATACTATTACGTATAAATAGAAACATGCAATTAATTAAATATACCTGTTTTATCATTATTTGCCAATATGATCTTTTGTAATAGGCACTTAAAATATTTTATACTGGGTAAATTTTGAGGTCTGGAACGCATTTATTCAATTTACATTATTTCAAATAGGAAAATTTAACTCGCAAATCGAACCGTTTCCTGGAACGGATTGTGGTTCGAGTTTCCACTACACATGCCTTCTTCCGCTCGGATGCTGCGGTTGTGGGTTGGAATCCCACTAGAAATGTGCATGTTTATCTGCATATTTCTGTGTTTGTGTTGCCCTGTATAGGTCGTGGTTTTCCGTTGGAACGATTCCCCATCAACTTAGTCCTACGTATTGTATATAAGATTCATAATTTTCAGCTTAATTTTGAATCAGAACACGTCATAGGGCCTAATCCATCAAAGGAAGAGGAAAATGCCGTAAATATTAACGGGTGATGATAAGTCTAGTGCCCTGACAGTGTATGTTCTTCATGTGTTTGCCAGAACTAGTTAACATGTGTTTACATTGTTATGTTTGTGCTGACGGAACAGATGGGAAGCATTTGCACTGCGCCTCTGCTTGCCGACTACTGGCCTCACTTCTGCACGCATAGACACGGTTTTAGGAATATATTGACATGAGTTCTCTTAACGGGCAACAACAGTTCATATAACTTCACATAAAACAAGTTAGGAAATGTACGCATAACATAAGTTGTCTGGCGGTATTTTTCTTTTATTTTCTCCAGATTTTCAATTCGTGGGAGCCCGGATAACTCAGTTGATATAGCAACTAGGGTACCAGCTAGACCGTAGAGAAGTCAGAGTTCGAATCCCAGGAAGGACGAGAGATTTGTGTTTGTTCCTTAACGCCCAGACTGTCTCAGGGACCGACCCAGCCTCCTGTGAAATGGATACGGGAGGCTGGCTTGGTCGAGGATAAATCTTGAGGGGCGCGAAGCTGTGTACTCTCACCTCAATTGAGTGTCGAGGTTAAGAATGGTGGAGCTAAACCTCCACTCTCCCATACGTCTTCATAGCGTGGTGCTTAATTAATTAAGTACAAGGGATAACTTTGCGTTTACATTCTATATAGCGTGAAACAGGAAGGCAAAATCAGTCCAACGGCTGTGGAGTATTGAGACGATAAAATATACAAATTGATTTTATTTAGTTATTTCTAAAACCTTAAGGTAGGGGGCACACCATAAGGTAGGTGGTTGAGGCACTATGCTACAAGCTGGAAGGTCGCGGGATCGAATCCCAATGAGGTGGATTTTTTTTCATTGTCCTAATACTTCCAGCCGCACTATGGCCCTGATGTCGACTCAGCTTCTAACAGAAATGAGTACCAGGAATATTCTTGGGGGTAAAGGGCGGCCGGCGCGCAAGCCTGACAACCTCCCTGCCATCTGTGAGCTGTCTAGAAAATATGGGAGCCTCGACCTCTCACAACCCTATGAGCCTCCATGACTTCTTACTGGAATAGCTTTACCTCTTTAAAACCTTAAGATTTACGGTATAAGTATGCTAGATATACATAATTTGTTTCTGTTCATTCTACAACTTCTGTTCGAAGTATCTTCCGTTTGCTTACCTATCTAGTGAGGTACATGAGAGTGAGTCTCCAGAACGGGGCACAGGCAGCTATCCGTTACAGTTTCCCGATTTTCGCTCAAAACTGGGCTATTTGTGGTAACCATCGTTACACTTACTAATATATATTAATATAATATTAAACTTCTTTTCTAAGCATCTGTCGTTTTTATGCATTTCTAGCGAGTGAGCCAGGATAGCTCAGTCAGTACAGTGTTAGACTATGAGCTAGACAGCCGGGGTTCGATTCCCCGCAGGGGCAAGAAATGTTTCTTTATTTCCCATTGCCCAGACCGGCTCTGGGGCCCGCCCAGCGCCCTGTCAAATACGTACCGAGAGTTTGTTCTCCGAGGTCAAGAGGCCGGAGGGCGTAGCTGTCCACTCACTTCTATCTAGTACCGAGGTTGAGAATGGCGGAGCTATACCTCCACTCTCCCATATGTTTTCATAGCGTGGTATTTGTTAATTAAGCATAGGGACAACTTTACCCCTCTTTATGTATCTAGTGAGATTCATGGGAGTTACTCTCGAGATCCAAATTTTTTCAGTTTTCGCTGGAAGTGGAATACTTCTAGAAATGTTGAGGTCACTTATTAATATAAAGTTTCATGACAGTCTGCTCAGGTTATTAAATGCTGTGGACTGGCGGGCAGATGTTGCAGAGCTACTTTACAACTTTACTTTGAGATCATGCAGAAATTCTGTAAAATGGCATCGTTTGTTATTCGCGAGAGGTTGAACAGACGTGATGACCACAATTATATAGCAGAATCTTGTTTCGCGAATACGTAATTCACCTTCAATATTTTATCTGCTCAAGTTTATGCAGCATGAACATAATTAGTGAGTTGCGTAAAATTTTGGATATTTCCATAAAATCGACATATATATATATATATATGAATGCCTGAATTTGCTATTCCGGTCTTATTATTTCCTTATATATTAATCATATAAACTGAGAGTATCTGAGACCAGGTTTCTGAGAATATTTGGGCCGGAGAGAGATAAAGTGACAGGAGGTTGGAGGAAACTGCATAATGAGGAGCTTCATAACTTGTACTCATTTCTAAGTATAATTAGAATGATCAAACCGAGGGGAATAAGATGAACAGGTTATGTAGAACGAATTGGAGAGAGCAGGAATACATAGAGGGTATTTGTGGGAAAGCCGAGAAGAAAGAGACCACAAGGAAGACCAAGGGGTAGGTGGGTTACTAATATTAAAATGGATCTTAGAGAAATAAAATGGCGTGCTATGGACTGGATTGATCTGGCGCAGGATAGGGATCAGTGGAGGCCCCTTGTGAACAAGGAAATGAACCATTGGGTTTCATAAAATCCTGGGAAGTTCTTGAGTAGCTGCACAACTGGCGGCTTCTCAAGAAGGGCTGATCTTCATGAAGTTAGTTAGAAGTTATCCATAAATAATTTTTAATGGTAGTTGTGGATAGGACATTCATTTGTTATGAGGTAGGTACATATGCTTCAAAATGGTAGTGCGACTCGAAGTTTGTCTTTCTCCCTTGCTTCAAACGTTGCTCTCACTTTCAATGACCGCCCATTCACTTTTATATGTAACCGTGAATACTTACCATTAAATTTACCCTTTTACGAATCTCAGTTTTTCTTCTTTTAGCCAAATACAAGTAATTCAATAATTTTAAGTCTTCGCTAAAAATACATAAAGCCAAAAATGCTTCAGGTATAAGAAACTTAAAGCAAATTTTACGAAATTGTAAATCGATAAGATTCCCCTGTGTCATTCGCAAACACAGAGATCTATGATATGCGTTGGGTTGATATTTTGTCACTCTATTAATAAGTCTATCTATCTATCTAGGGCTCTACAGTGCTTCTGTTGAACCTTGGCCGCCTTTTCAGTTTCTCTATCTTATACACAGTCGGTAGGACTCCTTGGACGAGGGATCAGCCAGTCGCAACGCCGCTACCTAAACACAGGACAGCACAAACACAGAATAAATGCACACATAGACATCCATGTATCCAGTGAGATTCGAATCCACGATCCTAGCGTCCAAGCGATCGCAGACGGTTCATGTCTTAGACGGCTCGGCTACCGTGACCGACAGTGTATAAGAATAATATATAAGAATTCAGTTCGTACCTCACAGGAAAGGGATCCGAATCCACGATCCCGGCTTCCGAGCGAACGAAGACAGTTCATGCCTTAGACCGCTCGGCTACCGTGACCGACAGTGTATAAGAATAATATATAAGAATTCAGTTCGTACCTCACAGGAAAGGGATCCGAACCCACGATCCCGGTTTCCGAGCGAGCGAAGACAGTACACGCCTCAGACCGCGCGGATACCGTGACCGGCAGTGTATAAGAATAATATATAAGAATTCAGTTCGTACCTCACAGGAAAGGGATCCGAACCCACGATCCCGGCTTCCGAGCGAACGAAGACAGTTCATGCCTTAGACCGCACGGCTACCGTGACCGGCAGTGTATAAGAATTCAGTTCGTACCTCACAGGAAAGGGATCCGAACCCACGATCCCGGCTTCCAAGCGAACGAAGACAGTTCATGCCTTAGACGGCGCGGCCACTGTGATCGGCCTGTGAGTACGAATATATCTTAAATTTACGTTGAATGGCATGTACGGTGAATCTTTGGAAATAGAATTACACGTTATTGAAGAAAACATAACCTCTTGCCCTTTGTCTAATTATATTTATTAAAAATTGACTGAAATTTATTGGTTACTAAACTGCAGTAGTGTAAGAGCAACTAACGACTAAAGGTATCAACATCCAAGATGGGGTTTAGTATCTCCGTGTCTCCTCCAGTATCGACTCATGTATGAAACCGTTGATGTCGTGATGACAGAAGTAGATCCATACTGCTCATTCTTCCAGCTGCGTTTCTTTTTCCAAATTAATTTCTGTGGTCGATGTTGTCATTTCGCCTAGGTGGTATAGTAACTGTAACATCCCCAAAATATTTTTTTTTTTTACTTGGACATGGTGAGTAGGCAGAATTTAAATTTATACCTCCACACCCATGGAACGTGTCAAATACTGTTATTTGTTACTGACTAGAAACGAGTTTCTTTTCTGTTATTGAATTTGCTAAATTCTTACAGCTGGTAAATACCAGTAACTCTTACAGCATCACTGATTTTAGCACTTTACATATCATAGAGCACACGCTAAATCTTAGGAGTGTGCTGTGTATTCAACAGTTGTCTCCTGGGAACGGATCCCAACAATGTATTCTCCTTCCCTGCTCACGTCCTTGCTGGCTGGCGACTGCCTCGCACCTAAACGATGATGGCAAGTAAATAAATCAAAATCAAAATTATGTTACGACTGACGGTCAGTCGGCCAGTGTGTCTTGGTGTCAAGCACCCATCTGGGGCCCGAGATCGGATTTGTATTCTGTCAGACAGTTGCGGGTTTATTGATGTTGGACGCCCTCTCTGATGAGTGGACGAGTCTATCGTTTACAATTGCCAGCACAGTCATTCTCGGGTTAGAGTCCAGCGGCACTCAAGACCATATTGTACTGTCTCAGGTTTGGGACTCCCTCAACCTAAGGTTCAGGGCCCCATATTTATATCCCCCAGGAACAGGGTGGCCCACTAAATAAATTGTCCCATTATTCCTCGTTATATAGCCCCGGGTCCGACCTCATAGAAAACACCGCTCCAATAATTTCTCCGTTGTTGCGTCACATTCATTATCGCGGAAACATGTTCATTGAACCTTTACTTGGCAGCGGACAGTTTCTTTTGGCTGCATTATTCCAGCTTTCAGGTGTCATGTCACGATACGTTCGGAACTTGGCACTAAACCGTGCAAAGGTTTGGAACTATACTTCGAAACCCTCAGCGTTTTATGAATACTGGTATATTCCTAACTTGATTCATGTTAGGAAAATTTTAACAGGAACAATTTATATAATATTAAAATGCCATTGTATTTACAGTATACAGTTTGAAATTACACGTAATTATGCTCTATCGATTGGGCCCAACTGAGTAGTTTTTACCTGAAGAAGGAGACAGAATCCAGTCTCCGAAACGATGTGTTTTGAAAAATAAACAGGACGGTTTTTAGATGATGGATAATGTCCAGAAACATAATATTTGTATTAATGTACCATCATCACAAACTTTTAGAACTTATTTAATTGTGCAATGCCTACAAGTACTGGCTATTACTCAGGAGTGTGGCTTGACATTGATAACAGATAGAGGGCGAAGCTGTACCTCCGCCCCTCATGGCGTGTTGTGAAAGTTAGTGTGGTCAGAACTGGGAATTCGTCTTGGCCAAGATTTGGAGCTATGCCTCCAAGCCCAGAACCCAAAAGCCTGAAAGCGAGGAACGTCGCATTCAAAATTTACGTCCACGTCCATATATGGAGTGAAAAAGGGATAATGCTGCCGGAGCTGGTCACTATCCCGCGCTAGGTTTTGGAGCTACCTGTACTGTCCTGGCCAGTAGCATGGTACCAGAAGGATCAGCGGGAGAATTTGGTTTCTGTTTAAACTACTCGTCCACGCGCCGAACCTAAAAGTAGTCCAGCCTCGATCTTAGTCACATGGGCAGGATAGGGTGAAGGTAAAGGCGGACAGACCCCAAAGTTTTAATAAAAATTGTATTATTACTTACGCAATACATTTATACATACATATATTTGTATATGAACGTATGTACGTATGTGGTACTATGTTAATACATATATACATACAAAAATATATAATTTTCTGGTAGATAAACATAGTTGTTGAACACCCGTAATACCAAGTCCGCCATCTACCCAAGTACCTACCTTCCACGACATCCTGTCGGGTTTAATGGTGTTCTTCCATCACCTTTCCGGTCTTTATATTAGCCGATTGCAAAGTGATTTCTCCATCAAAATTCTGTGTGCACCTAAACTCTACACACTTACTGTCCAACTTACGTGACGCTACTTACGGACTTTCGGAACGCAATATGCGCAACAGTTGCATGGCGATTTCGCAGGTATGAACTCTTCATCGCTTTCACAATCGCTATGCACGAGCACTTTGCAGCTGTCTTTGCATTTCTTCAAAATGTCCTCACACAGTCTGTACGCGTACACTGTCCTGGCTAGGAACAGAGCACTAACTGCACACAGCACAAGCAAACCTGTAACCTGTAACAAAACATGACGCTGTGGTTAGGGGTCCGTCATCACATGTTTAGGCAGTAAGGCCCTCTTTACACCAGGCTCGGAAAATACTTCTAGACCGCGTCCACTACGGATGAGAAAATTTGATAGGTGAGACTCCCAGGAAGTTTCAACAAGCCTGCAAAGACACGTTGAATAGGGACTCAATGGCGAGCCGTTATTTGTGTCTCAATAATGGAGCAGGTTTCCTTTCAATTTCATCGCAGTTTCCAGGAAGCATACAAAGCTCTTAGGGGTACAATTGAGAGCCGTCAACAGAGGAACTGATTATGAACAGATATTACATTTTTAATGGCGTTCGCAGAAGCTTGGTTGGTTGAGGCACTATGCTACAAGGCGAAGGTCGCGGGTTCTTTTTCCGATGAGATCATTGGTTTTTTTCAAATGTCCTAAGCCTTCCAGCCGCACTATGGCCCTATGGTCTGCTCAGCCTCTAACAGAATAGAGTACCAGGAATATTCCTGGAGGTAAAGGGCGGCTGGCGTGTGAGGCTGACCTCCTTACCGCCATCTGTGAGCCGATTGTCTACAGAAACCATGGAATCCTCGACGTCTCAAAACCCTATGGGCCTTCACGGCCTGTTATAGGAAGAGCTTTACCTTTTTGCCTTTTACGGTCAATATTTCAGTATAGTTTCAAAAATTAATTTTGAAATTGAACAGGCCAAAGTGTCCGATCCGTAAGCGCTGAAGAATGTGGCGAATGGCGGAGATTCATTGGAGCACAATTTAAATATGAAAAAATAAATTAATCCATTAAAAACTGATCCGGTTTTGAACTTGTTTACACACACGCACACAAGAAATTAGGGTGCAGAATTCAATATAATTTGTTTGCTGTAAAATACAAGGGTAATAACATATCTACGTTGTTACCTAATAAAGGAAAAGTTGTTATATGCCTAACTAATTAAGCACTACGCCATAAAGGCGTATGGGGGAGTGGATATATAGACCTATATCTTTTGACCTCGGTACTAGCTGGAGGTTACTGGTCAGTTTCACGCCCCGGCTACTTTACTCCCGTGGAAAGAGCCCACGGACCCATTTGATGGGTAGGGTGGACCTCAGAGCCTGTCTAGACTGGACAAGAGAAAATTCTTGAACATACCAGGGCTCGAACTGCGACCTTTCGGTCGTCCAGCCAGTCGCTTTATCGACTACACTATCCCGACTCATGATTATAGACTTAATTGTAGAATAAAATTTAATTTAATTTAATCGTGAATAACAAATTTGTCTTCTTAATTTCGCTTCTGAGTTTACTGTCATTGAAGGGAATGATTTCGAATGATTGTTGACAAATTGTATAAGAAGGTATTTTCTAATCAGCAAGGTCCGTTATTTAGAACATAAAACTCTGGAAGAATTTACTAATTAGCTTATTAAACCCGTTTAAATATTATATAATGTCTCTTTATAACACTTGTCTCATTGCTGAATGAAATCTGAATATTCGCCTACAGCAATATGTTACTTACTTTGTTTCCATTCATGATCACAATTCTGTGTTCTTCGGAAACCTTGTATCGGCAGGAAACGTTGCTACGTCGCTGTCTGCAAGAAAAATATTTTAAATATTACAACTTGATGTCCGGGGCACGCGGTAGCGTAGTTGGTTGAGGCACTATACTACAAGCCGGAAGGTCGAGGGTTCAAGTCCCGATGAGGTCATTGGATTTTTTTAGTTGACCTGATCCTTCCGGCCGCATTATGGCCCTGGGGTCGATTCAGCCTCTAACAGAAATGAGCACCAGGAATTAATTAAATAATTTCCCTGGGGAGTAAAGAGCGGCCGGCGCGTAAGGCTGATAACCTTACCGCCATTTTTGAGCCGATTGTCTAGATAATATGGGACCCTCAACGTCTCACAACCCTATGAACCCTATGGACCTTCACGACCTGTTACAGGGAGAGCTTTACTTTTACTTCTACTTACAACTTGATGTCATTGGAAATATTAGAGTATGGACGGAACTTAACGTGCATAAGGCAGAATGAGATTAAAAAATTAAGTTCATGTTTAAATTTTGTATCGAAGGTGTGTGCCACGTGTGGAGGCTAGTTGGAATACCTCCACCATCGTACTGCTTGCCATAGAAGAAGACGAAAAAAAAAAAGACCAGTGCCTGGGGATATAACTGAGCCATGCTGTCACTGGGGGACGTAAATACAGAGACCTGGTACCCCAGATTGGGGGTTGGACGCAGGGCTGACGTTCATACTCTGATAAAAATTACTGTTGCTATATCCAAGGAATTAAAAACCAGGTGACAAATCTTCTAAGGAAGGCTCATAAAGGGCTGTTATGCCGATGATGATGATCATAATCATGATGGTTGAGGGTGTGCGAAAATAAAGTACGTAGAGAGATGGCTGAGGCGGTAATGTTTCTGAGTTGTATTCGGGAGGTATTCGGTTGGAAACTCAGACAGAAAATCGCTTATCGTTGTCTTTATCAGTCACTCCAGGCAAATGCTAGAGTAGTACCTGAACTCAGGCCAACACCGCGCTTTCCCACATGTTCATCATCCCACAATTCCACGCGACAGAGTTCCTCTTACTGACAGCGACACGAGATGAAGTCGTTACAAACAAACAGATATTAAAACAAAATGCTGGCGAAGATATTTCAACTGAAACAGAAGGCTGGGAAGAAAACTGCATAATAACCAGTGGGTAAATGGTACTATTCCACACTTATTGACACAGTTCGGGCATGTAGCATGCGTGGATAAATACTTATATATATATATATTGGTGTCAAGGTCTGAAGGGCGGAAGAAAATTTGGGACGGATATCCGCTGTTTTTGAACCAGTTATTATTTCCACATTTTTTCTGTCACCTTAAATGTACTTGTGTTTTTCTGTCAGCGCGAGAGACCTAGTTCCCTACTCATACAAAACAACAAATAAAGGTACAGCTCTTTCAATCTTCACCTAACTCTTGCAGCCGCACTATGGCCCTGGGGTCGACTCAGCCTCTAACAGAAATAAGTACCAGGAATATTCCTGGTAGGTTAAAGACGACCGACGGGTAAGGCTGACAAACTTACCGACATCTGTGAGCCGACTGTCTAGATAATATGGGACCCTCAATATCTCACAACCCTATGGACCTAATGACCTGTTAGAGGGTAGCTTTTTCTTTCAGTCTTCAGAATATAAGTATTAATTAGGACATTTTAAAAAAATAAATACCAGTAAGAGCAAACATTCATTGAATATAAGCTTCTCTTAATTTCTTAGTGAATGTAATTTTGATTTGTTGTTCTCCTTCGCAAATATTTGAACTTTGATATGTTACAAAGAATTAATTTGTTATTATTTCATTTTGCATTCTGTGACACGAAATTGTGCTTGCTTCTGCCTGTGCTTGTCTGTGGACCAGTCTACCTGCTGACGTCAAAACATAGCTTTATTGTTCTCAACAAATATTACATACCGTAGAATTGTAATTTGTCGTACAGCTGAACTGAAACCACTACTTCTTTCCGGCGAGATATATCCAAATGCCATATACAGTATATCTCTCCTTATAAATAGTGTGTTTCTGCAGAGACCACGAGACAGGTTTCAGGAATTTCCACTCCTCTTTGACTTACCAGTCATTATGCAGGTGTACAAAGCAGTCAAGGAATGTGAAGCTTATGTAACACAATTATTTAAACCGAAACATATGTAAGATGCAACAGTTGAATGAAGGAGCTTCATACTACATATTCAACCCAGTACTGACACAATAAAACCTTTATTTTGACTTTAAATAATCTCTGAAGTTGATGTATTATTGGTAAATGGCTTACGAATCAATAATTCACCAAATTACCTTTCGACATTGAAGCTCTGTTGCCAACGGGAAAGCTAAAAGGAAATTACTTACGGCTATAGCTTATCGTTTTGAAGATTATATGCTGTTTAAACAAATGCCATGGAAACAGGTTTGTGTTTCACGGGCGAGCAAAACAACAGTAGGTTTTCCGTTAAACTGTGCATTATCGGTTTCACGTCGTCTTCTACTGTTTAATTCATTTATGTTTAACTTACTGGCTTCATTTTGAAATAATGAAAGTAGGCTTATGCGATCACTGTGCTGTTCGTTCGCCTGTGTATCCCCCGTATAAATTTTTCAATGGCTGAACCACTATTTATGAAACTTCGTATGTATATCATGGCACCTGAGCCCATTTCAATGGCATACTTCATAAATCCATTCAATCAGTTTCTAGGCAACGGTTAGGTAAAAACTTTACCGCGGCAGTGAATACACACACAAGAATAGAAGAATTGTGTGCGCCGTTTTCGATACTATCTGTGTAATACCAATGGAGAGTCTGTGTGTCTGTCTGTGTGTCCCCTCTTGTTGTTAGGCGATGGCTCGGTAAACGCTTTCCCGCAGCAAGGAATTATTGGAGTTGTCGTTTTCTATGCGGCCCTTACAGTGTCAAAGGAAAGTAAACGATTATTTCTTTCCAGAACTTCTTGTATCTTCAAGCAGTCAAATCTGTTCCGAACTGGAATCTTTGAAATAGGGCATATGATTATTGTCATACTCAGGATTATCGGGTTTCATGACTTTGTTCATCGTGCGGTATTATAAAAAACACAAAAGAACACAAAGTTGCGGAAATTGGATCTGTTTTGTCCTCAGGTGAAGTGTGGGAGACACCTGCTGTGCTGGGTCCATTAGAAGAGCTAACCTGATTCACTGGACAACTTATCTCGAGTCGGGTCTTGTGTTACGACCGACGGTCAGTCGGCCAGTCTGTCTTGGAGTAAAGCACGCATTTGGAGCTTACGACCAGATTTTTGTTACTGTCAGACAGTTGCGAGCTTGCTGACCTAGGGCGCTTTCTCTGACCAGTGGCAAGACCTACACGCAAGTGTGATGACAATATTTAAGTGGATCTTAGTGAAAAAAGATTGGGCAGTATGGAGTGGATTAATCTGTCTCAGGATTGCAAAATGTGGAGGGCGCTTATGAATCCGGCAAAGAACTTTCAGGTTCCATAAAATTTTGACAAATCTTTGAGTAACTTGGCAACTGGTGCCTCCCAAGAAAGACATAGGTACATCAAGTTAGTTGTTGGTGACGCTCCATAAAAACACAACACTTCTCTACGTCGGACGCCATATTGTCTACGGTTTGCACTGCGCACTGCATACTGCGCATACAATTCGACATAATCACTCTAGTAATAACTCACGAGGCTCCTCGTTATGCAATTTTGTTCAATCTCTTGTCACGTGTCTCTTCAGATACCTAGGTCCTCAGTAGTTTGTGCTCAATCACCACCAATGTAAATTAATGTGAAGTCTGTATCCTGAAGATTGCGGCATCAATTGCCTCCGAAACGTTTGGACACTTCTGCTAGTCTACAGGGAATGACAGCAATCTCCATAGACAGTTGTCAGTCTCAAACTCTTAGCTTACTGTAGTTGTGGAGAGGTTGTAAAGTTGTTTAGATCTGTGTTTCTCAACCGACGGCCGCGGCCCTGTGCCGGGCCCTCGTCTCATAGAAAAAAGAATTTACCGAGCCGCGGTCTGACAGGTTCAACCGCCTGGTTTAGATACTTGCTGGCCGATCACAGTGGCCGCGCTGTCTAAGGCAAGAAATGTTTTCGCCCACTGAAAAACTGGGATCATGAGTTCGAATCCCACTTCATCTATGGATATCTGTGTGCGTTTATTCTGAGCTTGTGCAGTCCTGTGTGTGCAGGTCCCTTCCAATGAGTCGTACTGAGTAAGAAATTAAGAAACTGAAAAAGTGGCCAAGGCCCAACAAAGGCTGCCGTAGATAGATAGATAGATAGATGGCCGCGCAATAGCTCTAGCGGTTAGTCGCTGGCTTCCCATCGCGGCGGCCCGGGTTCGATCCCGGGTCTGGTCAAGTGGGATTTGCGGTGGACAAAGTGGCGCTGGAGCAGGTTTTCTCCGAGTCCTTCGGTTTCCCCTGCCAATCTTCATTCCACCAATTGTTCCACAATCACCCTCACGTATCATCTGGGGCTGGTACAATAGGCCAGAAGTGGCCGCAGTACAAGGGACTTAGTTCCACCCCACTAGCAATAAAAAAATACTCTCTCTTAACATTTATTAAGTATGCCCTAATGAGTTCTTCAGATGCCATGCAACTATACCCGGCTGTAACACGACACGTGCTGACATTGAAAAAAAGCCGATTATCACAAAAATATTGAGAATTTACTGCATAAATTGTGTGGGAAATCTTGATACAAACTTATAATAAATGGTTTGACGTTTATCCCAAAGCCCGGAAAACTTTATTATACCGAGGCTAAGGCTTATCGTCCTATCAGCCTGTCGTCTTTCTTTTTGAAAACTATGGAGAAACTAGTGGATAGGCATATTAGGGACGGGGTATTGAGGACTTATGCTCTACACCGAAACCAACATGCCTACCAAACAGGTAAATCTACCGAAAGTGCACTACACAATGTGGTAACACGCATAGAAAGTGCAATTGAACACAAGGATGTTGCCTTAGGAGCATTCCTTGATATAGAGGGAGGTTTTGATAGAACTTCATTTGATGTAATCAAACAGGCTGCTGGAAGGCATGGCATAGAGCCTGCAATATGCAGATGGATCAATGCTAAGCTGGAAAGCAGAATTATAGCTGCTACATTATCGGGAGAAACCCTGGGGGTGTCCGCGTCTAGGGGATGTCCGCAGGGGGGGGGCGTACTTTCGCCTCTACTGTGGGGCCTGGTCGTCGACGATCTCCTATGGGGACTTAATGATGATGGGTGTTATACAGTAGGATACGCTGCTGACATAGCAATCCTCACAAACGGAAAATTCCTTTCGACCGTATCAGAGCGTCTTCAATTAGCTCTGTACATGGTCCGACGGTGGTGTGAAAGAACAGGTCTTTCCAGCAATTCCAACAAGACGGTAGTTATACCGTTTACTAGGAAGAGAAATATAAAGAGTCTTAAGGAACCGACCCTCTTCAATAAAACGATCCAGCTCTCCAGCGATCTCAAGTACCTTGGTCTAGTATTAGACAAGGGACTGACATGGAAGCACAATAGACCACTGTAGGTCGCGGTGCAAGGGCCGCGAAGGCCCACCCCTCACACATTTATTCAGTCATTCATATAATAAATGGTTTCCTGCACCACAGGGTTTCTAAAATAACAGGACAAAAACATTATGATAACGAGTGACAATAGCGTTCCAATTTCGAGGAAATTTCGACCAAAGTCTCTACCGATATATAAGACCTGTAGCAAGTGGCATACACCAAAGCACGAGCGGTTGCCGCAGCAGTGAGAAGTCTCAGCAACTCCGATAAGGTAATAAATAGTAGATACTTATGTTCTCTTAAAGTCATTGCGTATTGCCTTACATTCAACAAAGTAATTTCTTACTAATTCTGTAGAGGTCAAGCCAGTTCCAATTGGATGAAATATTGCTTGTTCTGACGTTGAAACAAGGAACATAAGGAAAGGGCCAAATGGGCATTCGCTAAACAAATATACGCGGATAATAACAAGAAAAGACAATAAATACAAATGATATCCTATTTCCTAATCTATAAAATTTCTATCGTAACAACAGCCAGCGAGTATATCAGTAAGCAATTAGGGATATATGGAGCTGTAGCAAATGGCACACGCCAAAGCAGGTTGGTTGCCACTGTAGCGAGGAATCCCAACAGCTTTGAGAAGGTAACTCTCATTTGTTATTACTCCTGTGCTACTGCTTGGGAGGATATACACGTACGTTCTGGACTCTTACAGTTTAAATAAATAAAGTATTTCTGTTTACTGATACAAAACATGATATTCAGGCAGAATTCCTACCGCTCTGCAACTACACCTAACTCATGTACCAGCAGTTGCCTGAGTCTGCAAATAACGTTCCGAAGGCGAGACAGACATGGCCGCCTGTGACCCAGTGGTCAGGGTAATGGGATTCGTAACGGCATCATGTCTATGTCTGCCGCCTTAACGAATCGAAATAGTGACAGATTAATTTCATATTATTCGATACACATCGAGGTATGCAGTTGCAAATGTGGTATGGCGAAAAGCAGAAAAATTGAACATGGCCAACCATAAAACTGAAAAATATTTTGATATTGGTATCAGAATGAAACTATTATTTCATGTAAAGTGTTGGTGAAGATGAAGGCACAGCCTCCGTCGAAACAGTAGTGAACATCTAAAACGAAATAAAAAGAATTGTCTCCGTCGTGAAGATCTTAAAACTCATTCCCTTGTACACTGCTCGCTCGTACGGGACTGATTTGCGTGACGTCACATCCATTACGCGTTCTCACCGAGGCTAACACCGGAATTTTCTGTTAGCCACTATGGTCCAGATCTTCTGTCTCCTCTCCATGGGGTGCAGGGAACGTCTGATAACGATAGAAAAGAAATTACAATGTTCTAATCCCTTCTTGAAAACATGTGCCTAAGGGATAAGGGGGGGCAAAAAGAGAAATTTCAGCGAAAATTTCTAAGTTCAATAACAACGAAATTCTGCCAACAAGTAAGCAACGAAATCGCGAAATACTCCACATCACAGGATGTGCTAAAACACATCCTGGCCCACGTATCAGACAGCTACACACTTTACATTGATTATAGAGCTGAGAGGTTATTCTCATGTGACACATTTGCTGAAATAGAGAAATTGCTCGAAATATAATCTGGTTTCTGCAACACGCAGTGTCTGAAAGCCAAGTGTGAGCATCTTGAGGATTCTATCGTACCAAGGATACACCAGAAACTCCAAGTTCGCTACAATGAGGACTGCCGTGTTCCTGTTTGCAATTCTGGTCGTGCTCGGCACCTTCATCGCACAGTACCCTGCAGGTAAGCTAACTTACTGTCACGTGTATGAGTGACTATAGAAGGGGGTTGCATTGGTAATTGTTCGTATTGACCTTTCACAATTCTTAATTACAAGTACATTTTTCTCTCCCCCACGGCTTACAGACCTGTATAGGAGCTTCTAATTCTCTTATCCAAGGGGAACCGAGGCCTGTAGAATACATGGAGCTTTAACTCCACTCCACATACGTCCCCATTTCTTGGTGCTTAAATAATGTAGCAGAAGGATAACTTTATACTTCCCTTATAATCAGTATCAATGACGAAATGAAAGTATAGCTCTATGCATTCTGAACCTCGGTAGTAGTTGAGTGGCCCAGCTTCACTCCCCGTCCATTTTCTCCCTGAGAAAAGAGCCCTCGGCACCCACTGAGTAGGAGACTGGGTTGTATCCAAGGTACACTGAACGTTATAAAGAAGAGAAAAATTATCTTTCCTCCGCCGGTAATTAATCCCAATTACTTGCATTTGACGTTTATTCGATAGCGTCTATAATTTTTACTATCTTTGGGATGGGGTTCCATGTGTTTCCGAAGTCTATATGACCTCCAACCTCAGTGCTTAAGTAAAAGTCAAGCAAGAAAACCGGCATTCAGCAAGCAGCAAGCAAATTTCTCAGCTTGTTTTTCTTTTGCTATACACCTCACTCCATGAAACTGAAAAAGGAGGCACTGTATTCTTCTGTAACATCGGCAAGCCTATGTCAGACTGCAGGAGCTACATCCAGATACAGAACTCTCCACACTATATTTCCTTATCATGGCTGACATTTTACCTGCGCAACTTGAAACAGAAACAAAAATGGGAGGTTCTTTCTTATCGGTAGAATTTAATTTCTATTCGCTCTATGCTGAGTATTGAAAAATACTTTTCACAGCCATCCTTATTTTGCTCCGTTTTTTTAGAAGCGGCCTGCGATTTCCAGCAATGTTGGGTCACATGCCAGAGGCAGTACACTATCTATTTCGAGAGGGCATTCTGTGACGGAGGTACTTGTAAATGTGGTAAGTTGTGTGGATACTAAGCGCTTCGTCATTCACTGTGATGTAAGCAAGGATGTTTTCAAGCAAGTCCTCTCAATTAGAGTCACTGTTCCGAATGTGCATGTACATGCCCTCAAGGAGGATAAATCTAATGATGCAAAGGATCCTTTTATGAAGATCAGGAGCGTGTATTCCATAAACACCCGAAATACTGCAACGTACGTGTGTCGTCAGGTTTTGTTGGAAAACCCAGTTCGGAAGTGACCACTAGGAAGGAATAGACGTAGGTGGGAGGATAATATAGAAGTGTATCTTAGAGCAATAGGATGGGAAGGTATGGACTGGATACAACTGGCTGAGGATAGGGGTTCCATGAAATTTCGGGAAATAATTGAGTAACTGAGCGACTGGTAAGTTGTAAAGAGGACTCAGCTCCTTGGAGTTAGTAAGTTGTTCGGTTAGTTAGTTACTTAGTTAATTGTGTGTGTTAGGAACTTCAGTGCTCAAATAAGCAAAGTGCTCTCAAACTCGAAACTAGGAATGGCAGTATATACAAACTTAATAATAATAATGGAGCAGTAAATTTTGCCAAAGTTCCCATTGGACATGAAGCTGTGTGGTCACCAGAGCTGCTGTTAACACTGGACAGTGAAGAAGCCACTCTCCACGTCAGGGATCAAATTCAGACTCAAGCCTGTTCAACCCTTTTCTAGTCACACTATTCACTAAAATATCCTAGTCCATTTGAGGCAGAAATGTTTTTGTCGATCCTTAACCAGTATCAAATTTTCCTGGCAATTATATGAAAGAGTTACATTTTGTGTCTGTTTCAGTGTACCGGACATCATAGTCACGGAATTTCACGTTAATTCTCAAATGGAGACGACCAGCTGCAGATGGACCACTTCTTATCCTCAAGGGGATTACACACGCACACTTTTGTTCACGTTAAGTTTCTATGCCAAATATTTGCTGTAACTACTGCTTACTGACTGTGTAAGTAGTTTAAATTAAACAATTCAAATCACTAGGTATTTCTATTTCACTTCACTTGTAATGTTATATTAAAATATGAATATGAAATTACATGTAATTTAGAATGTGAATAAAAATAATCAAACGCACTCTTCTATTCTTACCTGCTTGCACACAAACCTGTCACACCCTCTCCTCATTCATTCCATGCATCCGTCTGGAGGGACTAAAGGAAACTACGAAACCTTGGTGGCCGGTTTCCAGGTGGACGATTCTTCCCAGGAACTGGAAACCCACTCGCTCATTCGCGACGACAATTGAACACTAAGATACAATGCTTGACTCATTCTTAACGGTGAGTCGCTTTCAGCAAAAGTGCATAAACACGAATATAGGGCGATCTGCCGCTGTGACAGAGCGGATATTCTCGTGCTGAATCTACGAGGCAAACAGACGTAGCGCCTGCGCAGAAAGACCGACCACACCACTCCTGGAAATACAGGACCCAATTTCTAAAGCACGTGCATGTCTAGGATAGAACAAAAATCTTGTGTCATAGATCTCGATGGGACCTGAAGCTAAGATTGACTGTGCTGGGGAGGACCAGCGGCAATTTAACCGACCGACTTAACATATCCCTGTGAGTCGTACAAGGTGACGAAAGGAACCTGTTTCGTTGGGGTATAACTGGGACATCTTGTCACTTGGGAACATAAATACTGGGACCTGCCTCTCCAGGTTTGAGGGAGAATGTGAAGGCCGCCAGAACCGTCAGACTGCAACATAGGGTCTTGAGGAAGGCCCGGATTTTGATGTCGTGCCATCTTTTTTTCTTTGTGTCCTATGCGATTCCGTAGGCGATTTGGTGGTTACAGAAATGTAAATTTTACAGGTAAGTGTTTAATAATATTTCTTTATTTTTTGAGTTTGGAGGTACTTTATCAGAACAATTTTTGGACCTTTATGGGTATGTTTTGTCATTTTAGACACTTTATAAAAAGTTTTCTTCATATGTGAATAGTATGGAACTAAGTTGTGCTTTCTTTTTCTCCTGAGCCTTCTCTACAAAGGGAGCCTGCAGCTTTTCCCCAATATAGAGGGTGTTTCACGAATTTAGGCATAACTGCAGCAGGTGATTCCCTAGGTCTTTGTGACCAAAAAAGTTCATATAAACATGTGTCCGAGTTATGACCGTTTCTTCATTCCCGTACACGCCCTCGTGTGAACCGCGTCTATCATCTGGCGGGTCGCTATTTTTAGCCAGCTACAGACAGAGCGTTCTCGTTATCTCGACACTTGAGAGCTACCTAAGGCGTGGTGGGTTGGTATGTCCGGCCACGGCTAGTGTGGCGGCTACTGGTGTTCAGAACAGTTCTCATCTCGGTGCGTCTGTTACGTTCACGATGCCATTTACGTTTTCATTTGAGGATTATGCAGATATGATTTTTTGTGACGGTAACTCAGTTCTTGCCGTAGCTGAATAGCAGCAACGGTTTCCGAATCGCAGAATACCGAACTGGAGAGTGTTTACTGGAGTTTACCAGGCATTTCGAGATACCGGTAGACTTTCCGGCGCTCGTATTGCAGCCGATCGTGGTGTTAATGAAGGCGCCAATGAAGAAGGCATTGTTCGTATGGTACACCGCAGTGTACACGTACGAGTACGCGAAGAATTGCCAGCCAGGTGTCCAGACTTAAGCCCGCTGGATTATTGGGTGTGGGGATGGATGAAAGAACTGGTTTACAATGTGAGAGTGGCAACGCGAGATGCTTTGCTCGGTCACATTCTGGACGCCGCTGAAGCTGCTACGTGCTACCCGCGCGGTTCACAACCGAGCGACAGCCTGTGTTGTGGTCGGCGGTGGCTTTTTCGAAAATCAGCTTTAAGCACCAATCAATTCAAATTAAAGGTAATTTCACGAAGTTAACTTTATATTCATACTTTAAATGTATCATGTATTATGCTGGTTTATTATTTTGTTCCGTTTATTTTCAGTAATCGTTACCTTCTATTCTGAGTTTAAAACGGTCAAACTCCGTAACCGTCCAAAATCGGACATATGTTAATATGAACTTTTTTGATCACAAAGACCTAGGAAATCACTTCCTGCAGTTATACCCTAAAGTCGTGAAACACCCTGTATTCAATAATGCCGTAACCGATTTGATCAACACGTTGCTAGGAAACAGCTTTATAAACACGGTCCAGCACGCAAAATAGATAAGGCCGTGTTTTCTTTGTGATCTGGGCCACGCCCAGTGCTGCGGACCAGTCAACTATCAGTCTGACACATCACATGTTTTTCTGTGTGGGCTGCGACATTCAACAATAGAGGGGCTGTGTTTTCTGTGCGTGGTCCGTGCCGAGATGATATGAGGGCAAACGGGACTGGGAATTTACTTCAGTTCCGAAGTCCCCAGGGAACAACTGTGTGACCAGAAGAAGAATTAGAAGGCTTAGCGTGCCGTTACATGTGATGTAATGTACATCGATATCGAGAGTTTGTGGTTTTGTGAGATTCTTATAGTTCCTGTGTTACAAATCCTTTGCCAAGAAACGGATAATGAAGACTAGTCGAGATAGACTGAGATGATTAGTGTGGAGTGATTGGAAATTGTGTAAATCAGCAATACGCGTAAAAATTATTTGTAATTACGACCTGTAGAATGTTAATAAATCAAATTACCAATCCCAACCCCGTCTTTAGTCGCTGATACACGTGATAATACGTTGTAAACCTGTCCTGTCCTTTCCGTTCGTTTTGTGGAAAATACATATCATAAAACATTGTAAGCTGGCAGCAAAGTACCACAGCGGTTACTCACAATTTTTCAAGTTTTGTGCAGGGCAATTTGTTTAGTTAGAAATATTTCTAGTCGGAATCTCTAGCTTCATACGACATACTGTTCCTCAATAAAGCTCCTTCTTTCTTCTGTTTCTCGCCCCTGATAGTACAGACAAAGATAGAGTTGACGGAATGTTCTGAGTATGAAAATTCAGTTCTGTGTTGCCCTGGAGTGATTCATTTTGTCACGACTCATAAAACGAGACCATCTAAATCGTGTCATTTAAAGCAGATTGTAGCTGAATTTGGAGATGATATATTATCAACTGACGGTGACATTTTAAGCTGTAAGATGTGTGACACAAAAATAGAGGCAGAAAAATGTTTCACGGTACAACAACATATCGGCCGCAACAAGCATATACGGGCACTGCAAATTTCGAACAAAAAGAAATCTATGCAAATGTTACTGCAACAATGTTCATCTGAAGGTGGAAATAGGTCATCGGATATTTTCAGAGATGTGTGTGAAGATCAAGTGTCTGAAAACTTTCCGCTTTTGGCTCTGAATGTTGCGTCTCAATTTTAAGATTGGAAATTGTGAGGCATTACCTAAATGTCGAGACTTGCGAAAAGTGTTTTACAGCCATTACATTAGTATGTCAACACCTGGACAGGCAACTAGGTTAAGAATGTTGATGATCAGCTTTTATGCGTAATCGCACTAGCAAGAAGCTCTGCTAACTCGGCCACTGGAGACGGTAATATTATTCAATACACAGCGATGAGACACCATGGGCCCGCCCACAACCCCAGGGAATAACCAATTAGAATATAACTTTGGAAATTGAGGACAACAAGGGGAGTTAACTTCCCTCTTTCGTCCACAGCCAATTCAGCAAGTTAAAATATATAAATTACTGAATTCAGGAGACATAGAGATCTGATCCAAAAACATAATATTGAGTTGTCAGCCGGAGGCTCTCTTCAATATGGGCCTTACGAGCGGAGGCAGTGGGCCTGCATTCTTCTATTTCAAGTAAGTCACGTTTACTCATATAAGCCATGTTGTTAAATATTATGGTTGATAAAGTGTGTGGAAAATAACGAAAGCAAACTCCAGTGTGCTCGGCGAGCCCTTAGGGGAGAGTAAGAATTATGTAACAAGTGATTGCCTAGGAAGATAGTCCGGCAATATGTCTGTGTATGGCGTATGTGTTAGGATTACTAGTAGTGTATCATGAATAGTAGGGAAACAGGATCGCATTGCACGATTAATACTTGTCTATAGTCAGGAGTCGAAGCAGAGAGAGAGAGAGAGAGAGGGAGAGACTCCAGTTTTACAACCCCGAAGGGGAGGTTCCTAGCGTAGTTTCAAGTAAATCCACTATGTAGTCCCGACTGAAAGTCGGCCTTGTTAATAATGTAAATATTGTAAATACGGTAAATATCAATGTAAATAGACCAGTGTACATAGAGTAGGATGTACGCAGGGAATTGTAATTCACACCTCCATAATCACCTTTCCACCACCGATCCCGCAGATCCTACCAAAGTGAAAGTCAGCAGCAGCCGAATGCGATGTTAGATAAGGGAGCTATGACAATATGTCAGGGGGTAGTTCCCACCATAGAGATGATAGACGATAAGTAGAGGCGGGTCAGACCCGGCACGCCCGCTCTACTCCAATAATAAGAGTTGACGAGGATGAAAGGGCCAGCAAACAGTAACGCTCGACTACCGCGCTATCGGCCCTTGGTAATTACATCACCTCTCTTAGGACATATAATAGATGGTGGCAGCTTTAAGTAAGTAAGGAAGCCCCGAAATAGGAGAATCCTAGCTGAGGGTAAGCTAGGATTATGGTGTTAACTCCTTACAGCGTAAGCTGTGGTAGCAAGAAGGGGACCTGCACGCCCCCCTGCACCACGGCGTTACAAGATGGTGGCAAGGAGGGATACATCCACGCCCCCCTGCCACCACGCCGTAACACTGAACAATGAACAACTGAAAATTGTTTCTGGGAGTCCGTCCCGGATGAATCCACACAAGGGGAAAACTACTTTTCCACGTAATACATAAATATATTGAAAATGGTTAGGAATAAAGTGCATGGGAAAAAGATTTTCGTTTCCTTTAAAATTAAAGTCCTTGCAGCACATTGGATAGAAACTAGGCTGGAACGCAGTGTCTGCCGCTACGAATTGACGGAGAAATATGTCTATTCCCACCAGGAATCGAACGGTATTTAAATATTCCATGTACTATAATAAGAATACCGAAACTAGATTGCAGTCACCCTGCCTCATTCCCGTGTCTGTTTCTCCCCTGTTACGTCATTCGTGTAGCTAGCATATCACCAC